GCGATTTTTACAGCAATGGAGCGAGTATTGAAGAAATGGATAAGGTCTTTAAGGCATTCAAAATACCAGCTAGAATTTACAACAGCTTCAACAAACTGATTTACAAACACGAGCCCGAGCACAACAAACGAAGAATAAAGCCGTTTTATGCCATAGTAAAAAACAGCCATATATACACCATAAATAACGATCTAAAAAGTATAGAACAGAAACAAGACGAAGAAGAAAAAAGACCACTGGTGAAAGCCTCCACAGACTACCATTTAAACGAAAAAGAAGAGCCACCCGAATTTAAAATGTTCAGAGACACACACGACATTTTAAAAATGGTCAGTAAAGACAAAGAGCCAAAAACTATTCATTTAGTGCCCGAGCTAAACAATTTGACCGAAATATTTTTTGAACTAGTGAATGCTAGATATGAGCCACAGATCAGATTTCAAGCAGGCATTATAACACAAATAAAAATGAAACTTAAAAAAACCACCTTTATAATAAAACCCAAAACCTGATTAAGGACTCTTCTGATGGATGTATAGCAGTTGATAACGAAAAAACATACAACAATATGAACGATGCAATGTTTCATTTTAACAAAAGTCTGTTTAATCCATTGCACAAGTCGTTTTATAACAAAGTTGATTTGGAAATTTACCACGAAGCAAAAACCATACCGCCAGCAGGACTTTTCACAGACAAGGGTTCCATACCAAAAAACCTAACCGAGATTGACATAACCAAAGCTTACACAAGCAGACTAGTAGGGATTACACAGGTGCCTGTTTTCAATCAGTTCGATGTTTGGAGAAAATGGTTTAAAGAGATGGATTTTCACACGATGTCAGACTACACTTTATTTTTCGTTGAAGATTGTAGCCACTGTGGAATTGTAAAACCCAGCACCTTTTTAATGTTTAACAAGAGGTATAACCTGATTTACGGAAAATATTTGAAACAAATTGACACTAATAAACTGAACATATTGTATTATAAGACACCATCCTTTATTCACGAGGTAAATTATAACGATTATGTAAAAGAATTATGGAACAAAAATATTAGCGACGAAGAGGAACTGGATAAACTGATTAAAAAACTTATTGTAAATGTCAATATCGGACTTTTGGAAAAAACGGGTAGCACTGACCAAAAAAGCATCGTCTTTAAGAACATTAGGGAAGCATCGGATTTTCAATTAAGGCACGGAGGTAAAATTCACAAAATAACAGAAATGGAATGTAGAAACGAAACAACTTACGAAGGCGATATAGAAAACGATGATTTTTATATGCAATTACAGGCAACAGAAGAAGAAGGTATGGAATATTATTTAGTTAATGTTTCAGACAAGGCAACATTAAACAACGGTTTTATTTACATAAAAGAGCTGTTGCTTCAAGATCATAATTTTAAAATGTGTCAGGATTACATCAAATTGAGGAAAAATTATATAAAGGCGGTTAGTGTAAAAACAGATGCATTTGTTATTAAATCCGAAGATGTGGAAAAAGCGAGGGAAGTATTGGAAATGAAAGCTGGTATAGGAGAATGGAGAACGAATAAAGAAGGAGAGGAAATAAAACTGCCGAGCGAAACATATCAAAGGAAAAAGAACGAACTGGATAAAATCCCCATCTACAAGAATACAGCAATAAAAATTAAGGACGAATATGATACAACAAATATCATAGAAAAAGTTATTAGCGCTAAACACGTTATGATCAGGGCAAAATATGCAGGATCCGGAAAAAGTTATATTTGTGAAAAAATGGCGCGAATGGGAATGAATGTTTTATTTGTATGTCCTACAAATAAGCTAGTCCAAAAATACGGAAAGGAAGCGGTAACAGTTAATAAGTTCTTTTCCATAGCAGTCGGTGACGAGAAGTTAGAAAAGTTTGATTATTCCGGTTATGATGTTATAGTGTTTGACGAGATTTATTTTAATGGTTTAAGGGTATTGAATAGAATTAGGGAGTTTGTTGAAAACAACCAAGATAAAATAATAGTGGCAACAGGAGATGGTAAGCAATTAAAACCAGTATCGGAATTAACAAATTTACAGGAGCACGAAGAATATGCTGATAATTGTGTTGATAAGATTTTTAAATATAATATTTATTTGAAAGTTTGTAAGAGGTTAAGAAAAGAGGAAGACAGGAAAAAATTAGAAAATATTAATATCGACATTTTTGAAAATAACATTAAGGTCAGAGAGCTAGCAGAAAAATATTTCAAATACACTTCCGACATGAACCTAAACGAAAATAATGTAGCTTATTTGAACGACACCTGCAAGGAAGTAGCAAACCAAATAAGAAAAAAAGCAAAATAGAAAGGGCGAATATGAAGTAGGCGAGGTGATGATATGCAGAGAGTATTTAAAATCAACAGAATATAAATTTCAAGTAAATTTTAAATACAAGATTTTAAACATCATTGAAAATATGGTGGTGTTGGAAGACGAGCACGATAAGAAAATACAAAAATTGCCGTTAGATATGCTGAGGAAGCATTTTATATTTAATTATTGTTATACCTGCCACAGTGTCCAAGGTTCCAGCATAGAGGGAGGTATAACAATATTTGATTACAATCATTGTTTGGTAGATAAGAATTGGATATGGACAGCGATCACGAGGGCAACTGATTTAAATAATGTGAGCTTTTATAAATATGATGATGATGACGACGATTTTAATAAAAACTGTATTTACAACTATTTGAAAAGAAAGGTGGAAGGATATAAGGAGCAAGACAGAAAAGCTAAAAGGAAAATTGACCATAAAAACTATATTACAGCAGATTGGTTACTAGATAGATTGAATGGGAGGTGCGAATTATGCAATGTAGATTTTTATGTAAAGTCAATAAACGGAAATATAAGAACGAACCTGACGGCGCAAAGAAAATTTAACGACCAAACTCACACGATAAGCAACTGCATAGCATATTGCAAAAAGTGCAACTGCTGTATGAGCGACAAGGAAAAGTTTTAAAAAGATTTAGTTTTAAAAAAAACTTTTATATTATATTGTATATATGCCGGTTAGTAAAACCAAGGTGGTTAAAGAGGAAACCATAGTAGAAAAACCGAAGGAGGAAGAAGCGCAAGAATTTAATGAAAACGTTTATGATATGATTTCAGAGGTGCATCGTAAAATGGATTTGATGTTAGAAAAAATTGAGGCTATTAGTGAAAAACCTAAATCCAGAACAAGCAATTTAAATACCGAAGCATCATATACAAACAAAAGAAACGCCTATATCAAGAAATTAAACGAAGGAGCAATTTTACAGCCTAAACCGGAAACAATGGAATATTACAAGGTTGTAAAGGAGGGCGATAAATATGTTTAGATTTTTTACAAAGATTTTTTACAAGGATTTTTTACAAAGATATTTTTTAAAAATGCAATTTTTCAACAAATATTTTTTGAAAGATTTTTATGATGAAAATTTTGAAATATTATTTTTATGAAAATTTTGGAAAATTTTATGATGAAATTTTTAATATTTTTTATCATAAAATTATTGATTTTTTATTGGGCTTTTTTGCGAGGAACGGTTGAGGGTCGGATGTCAAAATGATGAAAAAATTGTTGAAATGTTGAAAACGTAGGGTATACCCTAGGTAAAAAACGAATGAGCGTTGAGCGGGGTGTAAAAAAAGTGGGGCATGGTCATACCTAACTACTATCAGGGCGGGTGCTCGCTTGCCCCCTAGGTTGTCCGGCTCGGTGGTGGTGGTGCTTTGGACCGACAGCCCCCCTTGGAATCCTTTGCTTTCGAGCTTTTCCACTCTCTCCGCCAGGTCCTTGTATTGCTCGCTGATCGTCCCGACCTTGTCCTCTAGGGCATGCTGCCCCTCGCCAAGCTTGTCCAGCCCCTCTTTGTGCTTGTCCTGCTTCATGGTGAGCTCCTGAAGTAGCTGGAGCGTGGTCTTCAGCTGCTTGGTGACCTCCGTCTCCACGGTTGCGATCCTTTCGACCATCTCTCGTTGGACCCCCCCGACGGCTTGCTGAAGGTCCCCCCTGATGGTGCTGATGGTGGCCTCCTGGTTGGCTCGAAGTTCGGCCTGCAGTGCCGCGAGCGAGACCCCCTCCTGTTCATCCACCCCGGCATCCACCACCTTGCGCTTGGCCGGCGAGGACGACGTGTCCCCCATCCCCACTCCAGACATGGTTCTTATTCACGGTGTCGCTGCCCAAGTCACGCCCCTGACAGTGTTATACTCCCTGGCGAGGAACTCAAAGAGCCCCTCCGTTGCGGTGACGTACCCCTCGCGTAGGCCGCCGATCCCTATCACAAAGCTGGCCTCAGCGGTGGTAGTGGACGAGCTGGGCCAGCGGCGGTCCCCCTTGAGCTCCGAGGCCACCGAAGTTGAAGGACAGAACCCCCGGCTCGAGGGCGCGTAGTGCAGCAATCTGGTAGAAGCGCTCGGATTGCTGCGGGGTCGCAGGGGAAGAGAGATTAACTCTCAAGGCTCCTCCCCCTACTCTCAGGGGCTCAGTCCCTCTCTCAAGTTTTACCCCCGGACACTGGGGCTGGGGCTCGAGCCGCTCGTGGCTTGAGCCAAAATGGCTTGAGCCAAAATGGCTACTCTCTCTCTCTCTCTCTCTCTCTCTCTCTCTCTCTCTCTCTCTCTCTCTCTCTCTCTCTCTCTCTCTCCTGCACGCATAGCCCCCCCCGAAAGGAAGGCCGCCCCGAGGGGCGCGTGATGTCCATCTCTCTCTCTCTCTCTCTCCTGCACGCTTAGCCCCCCCCGAAGGGAAGGCTGCCCCGAGGGGCGCTCTCTTCTCTCTCTCTCTCTCTCTCTCTCTCTCTCTCTCTCTCTCTCTCTCTCTCTCTCTCACAGGCAAGGCATCCCGGTCTCTTTCAGCCAGCCTTAAACCCTAAAACCCCGTTTCAGCACGGACTGAGTCTTTCCCTTATTCTCAACCTTAATCCCCCACACTGCATAACTTATGGATTCTGATTACGATGTGCGGCCGGGCATCCCGAGGCCCAACTCTGGCGCAGCCGGCAGCGCGGCCAAACCCAGCCAGCCCAAGGCCTTGACACAGCGATCTACTGATATAAGAATACATCTCTGTAGATATAAGTATATAAACAAACAAATAACTAAATATATATATATATATATGTATGCGTGTGTATGTATGTGTATGTACATATGTACTTACGTACGTACGTACGTACGTATGTATGTCTGTCTGTATGCATGCATATGTATGCAGATTTATGCATATCTATACATTTCTATGCATATGTATATATGTATATATCTAGATAGAATGTTTAGATATATGATATATGCATACATATGTACAGTATACGATTCTATGTAATCTACAAATACGAATTTATATGCACTTAATCCTTTGGAATGTTTACTGTATACGGTGCACAGCGTGATCATACTTTTCATTTGCGTTTCCACGCCTGCGATAGTCGGATCCAGTTCAACTATAGTAGGATACGGAACTTCGTCCGGAATGGATTGGCTACGTGTGCGTCTGAGCGTACATGAAGTAAAGATCATAGTTGCACAAAGATGTGCAGTATGTGACATATGACATGTCTATATGAATGAAAGCACTACACCTGAAGCTTCAGCAAACTTCAGCAAGGGATCGTATTTAGGCGTTCAGAAAGAAAAACTTTTCCGTTCCCGTGGAAGGTCACTGGTTGGAGTTTTTGTTAACGCCACAGTTATGGATGAAAGCCTTTATGAGACCGCGGATGCATGAGGATCCTTGCAGAATGGGACTGTGATTGAACTTCATTAGACCCAACTCGGAAATACGCGGATCCCAAAAACTGTCAACCATAACCCTGTTCCGTCTTCAGGGTGCTGAGTTATGAGCTGAGTTATGAGCGGATTGGACATTGGATAAGCATTGTCACAAAGTCATGGGTGTTTCATACATGCAGGAAAGTTACGTAGATCAGCAGGAAAGTTACGTAGATCAGCAAAAATGGAATGCCACTGGTTTAAAGCCGAACGAATTTCAATCAGAGAGGAAACAACAGTCCTCAAGCATTCACCTCCCGACAAGCAAAAAACAACACGTCTTGCTAGTTTCTTTGCGTGCTGGACTACATAACTCGCCAACTACCTTTGCTTCCACATAGCTGCTGCTTTGAAAACGAGAGACGCAACGCAAGAAAAAAACAAAACAAAAGAACACGCCTTCCCACAACCTCCCAGACTAAAGATCTTATTTGTTGCAAATTGCATGTTACACTTTAATCTTCATATATCTCGTTTCCGCATGTCATGTCATTTTAACGTCATTTGTTGTCTTGCAAGTTCGTCACATATTATTTTGTGGTCTAGTAAGTGGCTATATTACTGTGTTACTATGAGCGACGGACAAAATCACTTGTCACGTTGCGAAGTCGCGGGATACCCTGCTATCGCTGTACGTGGGGCCCGTATCGCTGTACATACTATGGGACTACGGGACCCCATGAAGCAAAACAGGTTAGAATGTGCAAAACTAGCAGTATCGCTTTCGGTCGGGCCCATATCGTTTTCCATGGTTTACTGATGTTCGCAACAACTCGTGTCCACCGTAGTACTGGCTTCAAGAACCATAATTCTGGCATCCGCTCATATGAATCTGTGTGACTATGCTACTATGCGACCATGCTACTATTTACTATATGCGGTATCTGGGTGACAAGCAAATCAGCCAAGCGTAGCTCAGCAAACATGAGGGCACATCAGAAAACAAGACATGGCAAATCAGAAACAACCAGGGCACGAATCAGAAAACAAAGTCACCAACAGAGGCCGCAATGCATCTTTAGTACTGTGCTTTCTGCATCGGTGCAGAGTTCCCTGGCAGGCCATCTCCGTAGCCTAGCCCTAAGCCTAAGCCCTACAAAACCCTAACCCCCAAGCAGCCCTAAACCCTAAACCCAGCACTCAACCCAAAAAAAAACCTAAATCCTAAAAACCCCTAAGCCCTAAACCCTTAAACAAACCCTAAACCCTAAAAAACCTAAACCCTAAAAACCCTAAACCCTGAAAAACACCCCTACCTAAACCCTAACCCTGAACGCCCTAAGCCCTACACCCTAAGAACCCGTGAGCCCTAAACCCCAAAAACCCTAAACCCTAAAAGACCCCTCAACTTCAAACCCCGAAAACTCTAAATAAACCCTGAAAACCCCTAAGCCCTAAACCCGAAAATCCAAACCGTAAATAACCCTAAACCCAATGCGAGCATTGTGTTTGCAAATGGGGGGGGGGGGCCTCCCCCAACCCCCCCGCTTTATCTTTTTCGAACCCATCATGCAAGTGTTGTGTTTGCAAATGGGGGCTAAAAAACCCTAAACCCTAAACCACAAAACCCCCTAAACCCTAAAAACCCCTAAGCCCTAAAAACCTAAAAACCCCGAAACCCTAAACCCCAAAAGCCCCTAAACTCTAAACCCAACACCCTAAAACCCCCTAAAGCCGAAAAAACCCTGAGGTCCTAAACCAACAAAACCCTAAACGCTGAAAACCCATAAACTCTAAACCCCAAAAAACACTACAAAACCCTAAACCCTAAACCCTAAACCCTAAACCCCAAAAACCTAAACCCTAAATCCTAAAAAAACCCTAAAGCCTCAAGCCCTCAACCAACCCTAAACCCCCTAATCCCTCAACCCTAAAACACCCCAAGACCTACACCCTAAAAAGCCCTAAACCCTAAACCCTGAAAACCCCTAAACCACAAACCCTAAAACCCAAAGCAAAAACCTGGCTGCAAGTGATAAATTTGTTACCATAGGGGTCTATCATAGGGGGCGGGTACTTAGTAGACCTATCTTCAATAAATGTGTCTTGGGGGAGATCCCTAAACCTAAACCCTAAACGCACAACCTTAAACCCTCTCATGTTAGCTTAGGTTAGGTTAGGTTAGGCTAGGTTAGGTTAGGTTTAGGGGCCTGGCCTCTTGCATTGCAGATTAGGTCAGGGCAGGTTCCGTTAGGTCAGGTTAGGTTCGGTTAGCTTAGCTTGGCTTGGGGTTGGGCTCTTCTGTCCTTGCTCGCCCACTCCAGGCTAGGGCGAGGGCCCGCCAGTGAGAGAGACCGATGTAAATGCATGATGCATGCTGAGTCGCCCTCGCTGTTTGCTAGTTCTGCTGTGCTGTTTTCTGAACCATGGGGGCGTGATTTGAGGTCTTGTTTTCAGATTTGGACAGCACCCGACGGTATCTTATAAAACATATACAGGAGCATCTCGGAGCTTTTTGGAGTTGTCTGTCTAGTAGGGGGTGTGGTGGCAGTTGGCTCCTGCATGTGGACTGAAGTGGTTCGCGTGTTGGAGCTTCGTTGATGCTTTTTGGACTGCTTTTGGCCAATTGATGTTTTGGGTTGAGGGTAGATGCGGTTTGTTGTTGCTGCAATCTGCGATCAGCCGCTCCAAGGCGCAAAATTTGCCTGTGCTGTGGTGTCTGCATCAAGTTCGCATGTCATAACTGCAAATGTCTGTGAGGTGTTCATGGTTTTTTTGTTGAGGCATGTTGAGGCCTTGACACCTTCATGGTTTTGGACGTTCAAGGCCTACCCTCTCCACAGTGAAAGCAAGGGATGCTGGCACTCTGAGTTGCCAAGGGTGCAGCTCAGGCAAGGACAACGGTTCCGCGACCCCCGACCCGGAATCGTGCAGGATTGGGGAGTGGTAAAGTCGGGGGAGGCGTGCCACCAACCTTCTCCAAAACATCCAAAAGGTCCAAAAAACAGTCGCAATCGAATGGTTGCAAAGCCCTGGACCAGCAGCTCTCACGACATCACACTGCCCCTTGTCGTGCGGAAATGCCATCACGTCGCTGCTGGGCTGCCACGCCTCGACTGCTACTCGGAAGACGGCCGCATCGCACTCTGTGACGAGGGTGTCTTGGATCCTGAGAATTGCGCCGCTTGGCCCCAAACGAAATTTGAAATCCTGAAAGCTCAAAGAAACCCGATTGAAGATCTGCAGCTCCAGGTTGCATTAACATCTGCCCTACAAGTCTCACACTCAGACAGGGCAGGTTTTTGCGGAGTTCAAGTTTGGCGAGGGCTTTGTCTTTCACTTGGTGTGTTCACCCATTGCCCGGGGTGAAACCTCGAAAACCCAACCGCGAAAAAGAAAAACAGCATGTCTGGTTTCACTTTGTCGCAATGGATTTCACAATCACCCAGGCCAAACTGTTCGAGGTACGAAAACTAAAAACCAAACGAGATCCAAGGTAATTCGGCAGGTATAGAGTTGGATGCAGGCAGAATCAACAGACTTGCCCCTCGCCAAGCTGCGTGTGCAGTCCAATGACTGCCGCCGCACCTCCAGTCTCAGGGCGCAATTGAACTGAGAGTTGAGGCGGGGAAAGAATTATGTCCCATGATGTCCAGCAGTACATCTTAGTAAAAATCTCATAAACCGAGCAGACTTTTTCCATCTGAACCCCAGAACATCTCGCTCCAGTACGGGCCAAGGTGCTGTGACCCAGTGCCCAAGCTGCCGCACAGCGCACCTTCGGATCCTGGCACTGCAAGTACAGGGAGGTGCCGGGTGCAGGGTTCGGCTGTTGTTGTAAGAGGCAGCACACGGATCCGACACCCGCGCCTCCAGCAAACCCTCCCAAACCCCGCCAACCCAGGCCCAAGTCACGTCAACAAATCCCGGGCTGGATTCATCTCAGAAATCCAACTACACCTTGTTTATACTGCAAGAAAATTGCTGCTCGTTAATGTACTTGTGTTTTGCTTTGGATATCTCTGTGATTGAGTAGGTGCTGTGGGCTTTGACATGTTTTGTGGCTTTCCAAATCCAGCCCGCCCCTTCCAACCCCCCCCCCCCCCCCCCTTGTGTGCAAACACAATCCTCGTGAATCTCGCGTGTCATCCTGCATTTTCTCCTTATTCCTGCAAAGACAATGCCTGATGGGGGGCGTGCCCATTTAGAAACGCAACGCTCGCATGACTAAGGGAGTCCTCGTGATGCACGACGTTCTTATAAGCAAGCTTGTGTCCATTGATGGCGCGGCATTCTTTGAAGCCAGTTTGCACGGCCGCATTTGCAACACTTAATGCTCGTATGTTTTAGGATATGCTTCGCATGCGTTGTGGGTTTCAAGGAACGTTCTGTAAATGAGCGGGGAGTGAGGGGGGAAGCCCCATTTGCAAACAGCATGGTCGCATGGTGGGTTTGGAAAGGAATCAAGAGAGCTTTGAAGGGATTGTCGCGGCTGCAGGGGATCGGAGGACCAGGGGACCAAGGGAACACGAGACCGCCGGACAAGGGGACCGGTGGATCACAGCAAAAAACAAAGAGGGAACAAACAAAAAGGAGTAGAAAAATACGCCCCCCAAGTTGTGAACCCAAACGAAGCCCACAATCACCGCCTGGTGCGTTAAACGCTCGACAAAGTGCTCGGCATTCGGTGGCACCACCACCTGCGATGTGAAACATATTATGGGCATGAGAAACGCCCTCAGAAACACTGTGAAGGGCCGGCTGTTTGAGCGAAATCCGCCCTCCGCATCCGACCAGAAAGTTCTCCGAATGCCTTGGGATGCCTCTACTCCCCGACCCAAAAGGGGGGCATCTCAAGAGATGTGGGGGCCCCAACTCGTCTTTCAAATATCTCAGGAACCTCACAAATGTCAGGGCTTGGTGTTGTGCGAGCGCTTCGCTTCTGCAGCTTCACCATCCGGCCTGCAGGTCAGCAGCAGCAAGGCCCACTCCTGTCAAATCCCTTGAACGCGACCACTGCAAGAGAAATCACTTTGAGCGGCACCCTGGAGCCCTACATAGGGGGGGGGCTCAGCATTCAGGACTAAAAGTTCCAATGCAGCTACGACGCCCATCTTGAGACAAGCCCAGAGACTCGATCCCCAGCTGCACACCCCGGTCCTAGCAGCTTGTCCTTGACAGATTCATGATGCTTTGTGCACTGGAGGTTCGTGCTCACAGGCTTAGGGTTTTGACTTAGGGCAGCACGGAGTCTGGAATCAGCCTCTGAAACTTGCCGCCAAAGTCAAATGATAAACAAACAGCCGGCCCTTCACTGTTCCAAGACGAAGGGTTTGCACTAGTTCACTCGGCCCACTCCGAAAGTTCCGCAAAGTCTACAGTCTACGGGCCCTCTCTGGCTTCAAAAGGCCGCCTAAAGGGGATCCAGAAGAAACTCATTTTTCAGAACACGACTGTCCAGAAATGCCAAGACTCCGCAGTGCCTTTGGAAAGCACTCATAGATCTAGATCCCACTGCCAACCCTTTGGCCACAACATCCAGTTCACCATGTATTCTCTGCTACGCGAAGCCCAAACCTAAGCCACATCAAGGCACTTTTGTTAAGCTGCAGAGCTTGGCTGCGTTTTCTGTTGGCATGCCAAATGTCCAAGGCCGACTTGGCGGCTTCCCGGCAAACAGCGCTCTCATCGACCAGAAGGCGTGCAATGTCCTGCGAGCACTGTTTTGTCGCCGCCAAAACGGATTTTATTAGGACCTTTCATGGCTTGCCTCTCTCCTAAAGGTGTACAGTACAAGGTTACTGGACTCGTTGTGCTCACAATAGTTGTTCGTTACTAAGGGCGTTTCATGGGAATTATGATAATACCAATAGCATACAGAGAAAAGCCCATGAAAATGACGAGGGCTTCTCCTTCTAAGTCCGTGATCAGACGGGGCCAAGTAACAAATGTCGTTTCTTTCCATCGAACTTCCTCAACAAAACACGACAAGACAAGAAGAGAACTATTATAAGGTCTTTTACGCTAGCCAAAAAAACACTTGCAGGCCCGCTTTAAAACTACGAACAAAGCCGAAAAGACGTTTTCGTGAGCACTTCTATAATTCTCTGATTTCGCACGCGGCTGTATGATTCCAAGGGGCCCCCAATCAGTATCAATATACGGCCCCAGCACCCCCGCTTGTATTTCTTTTTCTTCAGGTCAGGTTTATGGTTCAAGTCTTTAGCTCAGGGGGTTCAGATGCAGCGGGGTGGAACATGACCCACTAGCCAGCTGTGACCACAGGCTGCATGAGGAGGGTCGAACATGTGGAGCTCTAGGGTTCATGTTTCTGACTCTCACTCCGTGGCTAGGACTTCAGCCTTGCAGGCTGGAGCAAAGCAGCCAGATGAGCCCCCATGTGTCCCGGCCAGTGGACAGGGCCCCTGGGCCCAAACTCGCAAGGGCTCGGAGAGTGGCATCGCGGACTTGCCAATCCTGTCCAGATTCACAAAAAGAACTCGGAGCTCCCCGGGATTCCCCGTGTCTCCTCAAAAGATCAAGTCCCCGGGCCTCGTCTCGCAGACGTGCCTTTCAACGATGGGATGCGTGTGCAAAGTGCATGCTTTCAGGCGTCTACTGCCAAGATTGTGGCAAGCCACGGGAAATAACTAGCTTTAGGAAATGCTTGGTTTATGTCCCGCGTGTTGATTTCATGGATCAGTTTGTATTTGTCTTTTTGTGTTCTTCCTGATCACTGCTTTCGAGGAATACGACAAGCATGAAGGCGAACAGCTGCTGCTGCTGCTGCTGCTACGCGCCTCCTGCGATCGCCGATTCTGTGAGTAGCCGTGCGGTGTCACCCCTGCTCTGCCACAATGGAGCCGTCGCGCTAACAATACTCCTGAATTAAACTTGTGAGAAAGATTCAAGCCGTATATTTTCGCGGCACGTCACCCAGCTCACCTTCGGGTCTCCGGGTCTCAGGGATAGGTTATGGCGGTTATCGAATGTTGAAGCACGTTGTAACAAGCGCCTTTTTGGCTTGCATTTTGGTAAAGTTCGTTTTCAGAAGGATCTGGGAGATAGCAAGCTTCTCAAGGCCACATCCCTGAAGTTGGACAAGATTGAAAATTCACAGATGTCCGCGTTGTGGGTGCAACAGTCCAAATGGCGACGCAAGCTTTGGCAATGTCCGACAATGCCCTGACTACTTTTGGAGGCACGCCTTCTTACGCGCAGGAGCCATCGTCGGTTTGTAGTTTGTGCTACTTTGAAGCAACGTTTGAAGCAAGACTAAATTTGCCGGATATATTGCAAGACTCATCCCACCACAGCAGAACAAAGGCAAAGGCTGAAAATACTCTGTTGCTGTGGCTGCGCAAAGAGCTAGGAGTGTAGAAATGAGAATGCCATGTTTCAAACACAGCACTGACTGCTGTTGGGTGTCTTGGAGGTACGGTATGGCAGATTGCCCTGCCACGACCACATCGCCCACCTCAGCTGCTCCCAGCAGAAACATGGCACGCTTGATCGGTTCAGGATCCCTTGGCCAGGATGTAACGGCTAGGCTTGGGACTGGAACTGCAGATCACAGCTTCGGTATGGAACCGGTATGAACCCTGGCCGACCTATATGGCTGGATCCTTCATGGACCTCCTTCAAACCAGCTGCAAACCGGGCCCTCTGTAAACCCAACTCCTCTTTTTTGCATCCTGGTCTCATGCCGGGCATCACCAGATTTACTGTTAAAGAATAGACTGAATACATTGAATTTGATTGTCAGGTAAAATGTCACAGAGAACCACACAACTCCTCTGAACCTCTAAACCCTCCTTTCTTTGTCACTAAGGACTCGACTGCTGCCCTCTCAACCCCTTGCTTTGCCTTTTGTGTAGTGTACCGCGATCCCCCTGTTTGGCCCCTACCCTCCGAGAACCAAGTCGAGAACCAAGTCCCCTGCAATCGCCTTTGCCTGAAGTTCACGCAGGGGCGCTCTTGCAGCCTGCAAAGGTGGACATGAATTCTGGCAACCTCGCGGGCCAGCTACGAATCTCTCTCCGGAGCGGAAGCCTTTCGAACATGCAAGTCGGCGTCTGCAAGATGTCGCGTCCTGAGCTGCATCAGACAACCTTGCACGCCGCACATTGATGCGCGTCGGCCAGCGCTATCTGCACGCCTCCCTCGCACTTCATCCATATGTTGTCTTGTTTTGGCAAGTGTCCATGCACGGATGTGCTCTACACTTGGTCCAACAGCTGACAACCGAGGATTCTTTTGACAGGCCTCTGGCCATCTGCAAAAAAAACCTGAATCCTGATACCGAACCGTCTTGCTTGTCTGCAGCCACCATTTTGGCCAGTGACAACTCCGACACAGCTTGCACCCCAAAGACTGCGGGCTTCTTGCCCCACACCTGGGTCTTGAGCAAGTCATACCTAACCTATATGCTGCACGGCTGGTTTTTGTTTAAGGGTTGGCTGGACGCTCGCTCGCATGTGTTGATGTCAACCCAACAGATGGCTTCAAATTGAGCTCTGCGACCATGGGCTGCAGCAACAGCAAAACAGTAATTACTCACGACATGCGACCCTTCGGGGACATTGCCATGAGGTCATCTGAAAGCTGTTGGGTTCTGGGCCCGTCCGCCTCCGGCGAGCAAAACTCGGCCAATGCGTGCGCACCTGGCTGGTATCAGCTTACAACAACTGTCCAATCTCCAACTCCCAACCCCGGCCACCACTGAATTAAGTCCATGCCCCGTCGCCTGCTCGCCGAACTCGCATGTTGCCATCACTGAGCGTGGCCCGCATGCTGGGGAAGACCTCACAATGCATAGTTCGGGTTAGGTCCGGAACCGGTTGGTGATCACCAACCGTAACTCCTTTATGTCACGCGAGCACACATAATCAACTAAGGAAAGCACCAATTCACCCGACTCTTCGTCCAAACGCTCGAGCTTCTCCAAGGCATCCTTGTGTTTTGCAAAGTGAAAAACATTGTTGGATTTGGTGGGTGGCAAGCCCAACAAGAAACCAATACTTCCCCTGCCTTTCGGCACTTCCAATGGTCATTGGAGAGGCACCTGTCGGCCGGCGATGGCGGTTTCAAGCACCGTGTAACCAAACAACAGCACGCAACGACAGCCAAGTCACACCGCCAATTCTGGTGCCATGGACGGCATTGCACCGACAGCACGTTCATAAGGCCATCAGCAGAGAAAAACCAGGAGACAATGCTATGGACAGTGTTGACAATGGTCCCAGTGGTGCAAAAGGCTGTTCAGGCTGGTTGTTTGCTGGGCGGTGTTTGCTGTGTTTGCTGTTTGTTTTTTTGTTGTTTTTGCCAACCTCATCCTGACCACCAGAGGGTTCGCAGATGTTCGCAGTTAGCTTGCTGCCAAGTCAAGGACAACAAATCACATGAGAATTGGCTCGCAAAACGCTTCGCTTGCAGATCACCTGCCATGAGGTCAACCTGGCCTGAACCCCACCTACTCGGGAATGGGCGTTTGCGGAGGGCAGGACGCATATCTGCACGATCCCATGAGTGCGAGGAATAGTGGCCTTGGTGCATCAAAATATATCAAAATGGCTTGAAATTACGTCGTCTCAGCCTCATGGTGCCACCAGTGCATTGTAGACTCAGGCACAAACACGGCATGCCCTCCGGCGAACCGCGGGCAGGTCGCGTGCATCTGCCACACGCAATTTTAGGTACACTGCAAGCAATGGTGCGAAAGCAATGGATCGACTGTTGCTGTGGTGGCCGCAGCGTTATCCAGCTTTAAAACGTTTGACTTCACATCCGCCATCACCGGCCAAAACAAGAATCTGGGCTGTTGCGCTGCACAAGCAACACTCTTAACCACTCACAGCACAGCAACCACACCTCGCGGCGTGTGGAACTGGCAGAAGCACACGAGGCATTGGACTGCCAAAAGTCGGCCACACCTGAAGAGTGCTTTGTTCTCGCGATCTCGCACAGTTGGCATGTGCAATGCTGGGCCATGAACTCGCGTGTCACATTACATTGCAACTGGATGTTGCTTTTGGTTCGCACTTTGTTGCGGCAAAGTGAGAGTGTGTTATTTGCCCTCCAGGTGCACGAGTTTGGCTTCACATGAAGAGGTTCAATACTGTTTCCACGCGGCCCCAAATCCAAATCCTCCCGTTCCTTGCTCAATTCGCGGGTTTTTCGGGGATGGTGCCATGTTCGGTTCACGTTCTCTCTTCTGCGTGATGACTTTGGCCACTCCTGTTCACAGGGTTGCGCCTGTGGAATCTGCATGCGGTTATTTGCCCACTCTGCGTAAGCTGATTACAGCCAACTTTCGGCCTCGATCACTTCGCGATCTTCACGAAAAAAAAGAGCGAGAGAGAGAGAAAGAGAGAGAAAGAGAGAGAAAGAGAGAGAGACAGAGAAAGAGCGAGAGAGAGGGAGAGTGATAAAAAGAAACTAAGCTGCCAGCAACAGTAGCCGAATCGATTTGCAACCTGTCTCTGAACACCCCACCTGGGCCATGAACTGACGCAAAGGCAGGAGCCACCTGGTAGCATGCCCACACCCGACGTGGCAAGGCAACATTGCGGCAACATCTCAAGTAGAATCGAATGCTTTCGCATCTGCCTCGACTGCCCAAGCCATGGGACCCCAACACTGAGGTAAGCCCAAAGAAAAATCCCTTGCAGCAGACAGCGGTTCTCGCGGCTTGACGGATACCCATCGAATGCTCTCAATCATTCTCCATCAACTTGTTGCAACTTCCTAGCAGTGGTAGCCGTCAAAATACATCTTGGCTAACGGTTACACGTTCCGTGAGCATGAAAAGGTCAATACGCTATCATATGTTGCATATTTAACCAGAGTGTTCCGACGTTCAGATGTTTCTGTTTGTCCGCGCGCGACGGCGCGCCTTTTTTCCGCAAGCTCTTCCCGACCTGGTCTGCTACGGGTTGCAGGTCACCGAACCTTGCCGGCAACACGGATGGGCTCCGCGCCAGCTTTGTCAGGGAGTGCGGCATCCAGGGAGGGTCTACTACGTGTCGACGCGTCATGCCTGCAACGGCAGTCGGCTGGGCACGGCCGCATCCGCCAGGTCAAGGACATCGCATCGCCAAACGGCACGTGACCCTGGCCTTGGCGAGGTCATGGAGCCGGCGCAAGACCGGCAGCGCGTCGGCCCACGCAGCCCAGTACGCCGCGGGCGGGACGCGTTCGGCCCAGACCCTCCATACTCGGCGGCAGGAACGCGAAGGCGCGTGCGCTAGTCCGGGCATCGTCCTCTCCCGGCCCCCCTGCCGCCGAGCAAACGCTCGACGACCTCCCAACTTGGCGGGACATTGCGGGGAAGGTGTTGAGCCCGCGGCGCTGCGCAGCACGCCAGCAAGAGCCATGTCAGGCAACCGCGCAATCTCTTTTTGCAGAAGGTCCGGCAACAAAACGAAACTCTGCCTGAGCTGCGAGCGCGACAAACCCGTGCTGTCCCGGGGGCAGGTCGCCACGCCAGGCGTCGGCGCCCAGGGCGGCGATGCTTGGGGGAGCTGGCCCGCCACTCGCGTGGCAAACGCGCGTTTTGCCAAGGTTGGCAGCAGTAGTGCCCCCCCCGCTTATGGGGATGGGGGGTTGGGGGGTGGTCCGTTTCGTGGAAATATGGTCTGGGGCGCGGAGGGGGACTGTGGCAAGGCATGTTCGTTGCGAACTGTTTGCACCTGTTTTGTTTGGCCCAGTTCCACAGCCAATGAAGCTTCGGGTCCCGGGGACCTCCTTTGCCCCTTGTGCCGCCATGGCCGTTGCCCCGGGTGCGATCCTCAGGGTTGGTCCGGGACCCATGACGCTGCGTTGCGGGACGCGTGCGCGGGGCACGGCATCCAACTCCCGCAACGTGCGCCAGGCGAGTCCACTGTGCGAGCCGCGCGGCCGGATTATGCACTCCGCACTTTCACGGCACCGGCCCAACAAACGAGCACCTCCGCCTGCTCCTTGATGACCCTGCTGAGTGGGCGCTGCTTCACGAAGCGGCCGAGCGCCTGGCCAATGCCAGCATCCCCGCCCCGGTCCTTGAGGCAGTCCGCCTGGGCTGGATGGTGGCCCTACGCAAACCGAACGGACGGGTGCGTGCGCTGGTCGTTGGCGATGTCTTCCGGTTGGTCGCGCGCGCCCTGGCGCAGCAGTTTGGCGAGGGTTTCTAATTGGCATGCCTCCCGTTCCAGTATGGTCTCGGCACGCGAGCTGGGACGGAAGCGCTCTCGAAGGTGTTGCGGGTTCGACGGTCCTGTCCGTCGATGCTGTCGGGGCCTATGATCATGTCTCCCGCCAAGCCATGCTAGAGGCTAGAGGGCCTACGCTCCCGGCCTGAGCTCGCTCCTCCCCTTCGCCAGGCAAGTTTATGGGCTCTGACAGTCGCTACATGTGGGTGGACGACGCGGCGACAACCACATCATCACGCAGGGCGAGGGAGGCGAGCAGGGACATCCGCAGCCCGGCTGCGCCTCCCCCCTGCGGGTGACGGGGCTATGGTGGCGTCTGCGGCGAGATGCGCTCCGTTCCACAGCGACAAGCAGTGGGCCACAACCTCCATGCGACGTGCGTCCGCGATGGGCACATCGACATTCATATCCGCCAGGCGCACGTTGTGGCACACCCGCCCTCCCGCTTCCCGGCACCGCCACTCTGCCCGCTAGTGCCTCGGTGCACTTGGGCTGGGTTGTGCGCCGACTGGCGGAGCCTGATGGGTATATCATGGTATATCGCCGCAGCGTGCCAGGAGGTGCGCCTGCACTTATTTTAAGGGGCTGCGCCCATGGGCGGGCAGCGCAGTAAGCGTTTGAGGCTCCTAAACTCCCTTGAAGTTTCTACGCATTTTGAGGCCCCTAAACTCCCTTAAAATCTCTAAGCGTTTGAGGCTCCTGAACTCCCTTAAAGTTTCCAAGCATGTTCAGGCCCCCAAACTCCCTTCAAATCTCTAAGCGTTTGAGGCTCCTAGACTCCCTTAAAGTTTCTAAGCACTTTATAAGGCCCCTAAACTTTCGTTTTCCTAGCCCCAGGCTTAGACACGTCGCTTATGCCCGCCCTTTGGGGGACATCATGCTCCTGATGCGCCTGGGCTGGGCCCCAGGAGCTGACCCAGCGCTGCGCCCGCTTCCAGCAGGGAGACTGGGCAAGCCTTTTGTCTGCGGCACGTGACGCCGGGACCCCCTCGAGCGCGCCCCGACACCCTCGCAACAGGGACGAGGCTGAAGCGCGCGCCGTGCGGTCGGCGGCCAGCCGCGCGCTCACAGCGGAGCCGCTCGCCCCAGGATCAGCGGATACCCTGGCGGAGCTGCGTGACCCAGAACGCCGGCCCCCCGAACGACAGGTCCCGCTGAGCCAGGCAGTCTTGGATCATGTCAATGCAGACCCGTGCCCGCTGCCCGCAGATTCCGTCTTGGCGTGCCCCAGAAACACCCGCCGAGGCGCGGCACCTGGCCCGTCCGGCAACAAACGAGCACCTCCGCCTGCTCCTTGATGACCCTGCTGAGTGGGCGCTGCTTCACGAAGCGGCCGATCCTTGAGGCAGTCCGCCTGGGCTGGATGGTGGCCCTACGCAAACCGAACGGACGGGTGCGTGCGCTGGTCTCTTCGTTGGTCGCGCGCGCTTTGGCGCAGCAGTTTGGCGAGGGTTTCTAATTGGCATGCCTCCCGTTCCAGTATGGTCTCGGCACGCGAGCTGGGACGGAAGCGCTCTCGAAGGTGTTGCGGGTTGCCACGGAGCTGGACCCCAGGGCGACGGTCCTGTCCGTCGATGCTGTCGGAGCCTATGATCACGTCTCCCGCCAAGCCATGCTAGAGGGCCTACGCTCCCGGCCTGAGCTCGCTCCTGCCCTTCGCCAGGCAAGTTTATGGCTCTGACAGTCGCTACATGTGGGTGGACGACGCGGCGACAACCACATCATCACGCAGGGCGAGGGAGGCGAGCAGGGACATCCGCAGCCCGGCTGCGCCTCCCCCCTGCGGGTGACGGGGCTGACGATGGTGGCGTCTACGGCGAGACGCGCTCCGTTCCACAGCGACAAGCAGTGGGCCACAACCTCAATGCGACGTGCGCCCGCGATGGGCACACCGACATTCATATCCGCCAGGCGCACGTTGTGGCACACCCGCCCTCCCGCTTCCCGGCACACACGGGCAACCACGCGCTCAAGC